ATAGTGGAAAAAATAGCGAAAAACATCCCGTTGGCTGAGTACGATGTGGAGTACGGCGAAGGTAATGAAAAAGGGGAAGGATATATGGGCGAAATAGCGTTCGTAAAAATTACAGCAAAGGGAAATGGAAAAACTTACAACGTTGCAATCAAACGAGCTTTCACCAATCAGTCGATCCGGGAAGATATGCCTATAAGGGATGTGTATTTAAATGAAGTGTTATTCTACAAGGAGTGCTTTCCTGTTTTACAGCAATTACAAAGTGAGCTGGATTTGCCTAAATTTAATATTGCCCCGAAATGTTTTTATACAAGCATTGAACCGGAAAACGAATATCTCGCAATGGAAAATTTCAAGGCATCAGGCTTCGAACTTTATCCCAAAGAAGAAATTGTTCCATACGACCATTTCGAATTTATTTTTAAAATTTACGCTAACCTACACGCAACCTCCGTCGTATTAAGAAAAACCCAACCCGAAAAGTTCGAAAAACTCGCTTCCAATTTTAAAGAAGTAGCTACGAAAAGCTTCGATAATCCTAACTTTAAAAATTTATGGAGCACTATGTTTAAACAAACAGGGGAAAAACTAATACCTGGTCAAGACGATGAAGCTATAAAAGCCTATGAAAAAAAATATTTCAACAACGGAATTTCCCATTTTATGGACTCTTGGAAATATCATGGACAAGACCCTGTTATAAATCATGGAGATTGCTGGAGCAACAATATGATGTTTAAATATAACGTAAGAATAAAGTTTGAACAAGATTCCTATGATAAGTAATAAAAATAATTGTTTGTCCTTGATGCATGTGCAGAATTTTAAGCATAATTCGAGTAACTATATTTAAAAAAATTACCAAATCACCCAATATTTTTAATAAAAATGCAAAAAACAATTTAAGAAAATGTTGGTCTGTTTGCAAAAAATTAATGAAAATAAATATTTATTTTTTATTTTAGGAACAAAGAGAACTTGTAGACCTTAAAGTATTAGACTGGCAACTAATTAAACTAGGATCCCCAGTCCATGATTTATCGTACTGCCTGTACTCAGGAGGTTCAAATGCCACTTTCAATAGACTGGACGAGCTTCTCCAAGTCTACTACAAAAGTTTTAGTGATGTTTTGGAGAAAGCAGGTCTGAATTCCGAAAAAGTCTACCCGTATTCCTTGCTGAAAGAAGAATGGAAAGAATATGCCAACTTTGGTTGGCTCATGAGCTTAATGATAATTAAAATAAAGTTAACAAACCAAGAGGACAAAGTTGATTTAATGGATCTAAACAACAGTGATGATAAGGAAGAAATTACTAGGAAAATGATAGAAGGAACACCGTCTGAAGCTTACGATAGACGAATAAGGGAATTGCTCCTTCATGTACACAACATTGGAGCTATGTGAATATTTAGTTTTAAAGAAGTATTAGGTAATTAAGACAAATTGTTTTGAAAAAAAATAAAACCAAAAATGTTTATTTATTTATTATTGTACTAAGTAAAAAAATGTAAATTACACTCAAAACTAGATCAAGACATAGTTGGGTTTAATACAATAATACACAAGATTATTTTTATTGCATTTTGTAAAAAAAAATTAATGTTAATAAATTCAATCTTTTAAATATTGTATCTGCCTCTCCTTCATTAAAAAGTCGTGTACATTAGGGTGGAGTGAAATACATAATGGTAACCTATATTGCCTATATATATATTGGCTGAGAAAATCACTGCCGACTATTTTAGAAAATAAAAATTAATTAACCCAAAATGTAATGTATTGTAAATTTGGTTTTAAAAAATCCTATTATTTCAAAAAAGGTTAAAATTAATAAATTAAAATTTAAGAAATTTATTTTAACCTCTAAACCTTTTTTGGTCCAACCACTAAAATTATTAAAAATAAATAAAATTATCGTAATATATAATAAAATTATTAAAAATAATAATTTAATGCACAATTAGTAGTGAAATAATAAACATGGGAATAAACTATAGTTTTAATCTTTAAAATTAGTTGGATTAATAAATTTAAAGGTTAAAAAAATCAATTGTTACTTATTTCCAATAATTAAAATATTGATTTAAAAATGTTTCTTAAAAAGGAATGTTTTATTTAAAAGATTGGATAATTAAACCAAATATAAAAGTATGTAAGTGTAACTAACTGGAAAGGTTGAATAAAATATCAAATTTAATTTCTTATTTTTTTTATCCAAAATTTAATTAAAATAAAAAAATCATGATTAAAGGTTTTAACTACAAACAAAAGTTTAATTGAATACGTATACGATACTTAAATATGTATACTCTACTTAACTGTAATAGTTTTTTTGTATTCCTCTTATTTCTTTAAAAACCTTATTCGAGGACCTGCTTTTGGGATTAAGTCTTTTTATAAACGCCTAAATTTATAAATTTAGGCGTTTATATTTCCTCGCCGATATGTTGTCCTACAATAAAGTTTATTTTGTGATAAAATATAATTACAATTAATTAAAACTTAAAAAACGCCAATTAGGTTGTCGAATCCCCATTTGTCTAATAACGATTCCATTTCTATAAAAGTTAATTATAAAACACTTAGTTTATTATTATGAATGCTATATTTAATCAGGTACCTAGTACTACCTACATGTACCTCGATGTACTATGCTCCACACTTCAAAGTCCCACCACGTGACTACGTACGGAACGCAGTCTTTTGAAAATTTGGCATTTAAGGATTTTCAGGTTATGGATCTGTCAAAGTATATTCAACGAAAGAAATAATATTATGTTTGGGCGTTAAAAATGTATAAATCTTTATAACATTACAATAACAATGGTTGGTTTAAGAATTTAGGAATATAAATACTGCATTTAATGACATTCTAAAGTGTATGGTGCCATATGCATTTGGTCGAAATATCTGGTTTTCTCCATAAAATAATTTTATCTAAACAGCATTTATTAAAAAAAAATCTAGCTTCTCTATTATGGAATAAGTATACCCGTATTAAAGGTAGGATAATAAATTATAACAAAAATATAATCTAATTTTGTAATTTTAAGGTTAAAAAAATTATTTTGACCAAAATATTTTGGAATATTTGAAAGACTGTATAATATGGTATTTAAAAATATGGTAGTTTTTCTAATCCAGCTTAAAGTGTACCTACATAAAGTTTTGTCAATACAAATACCTAGTTATAATAAAGCTTCAACTGAATTTGATCTACATCAAAAAATCCTTATAACTTTAAAAATTTTAATAAATCACATGTCATGGGAGTATTAAATATTTTCACATTGCATCTTTCTCTAAAAATTGTTTGTTTTCTTATAATCTAACTTAAAGTAGGTATGCCGAGAGGTATGCACAAGTTTTGTCGTTAAAAGTATAAAAGCTTTATATTAATTTAATTTGAACCATATTCAACAATTATTTAGTATACCTATATTTATTTATGACCATATTAACACACTTTCAAATAATCCACTTATTTATTTTGGTCAAAATAGATTTTTCTAACATAAAAATACAAAATTAGATGATATTTTTTGTTCTAATACATTAACCTACCTTTGATACAGATATTCTTATTCCATAATAGAGAAGTTGGATTTTTTTAATAAATGCGGTTTAGTTAAAACTATTTCATGGAGAAATCTAGGCCCAATGCAATAAAATATCACTTATTTGGCATTATACACTTTCATTATATGCAGTATTTATATTCCTAAATTCTTAAACCAACCATTGTTATTGTGATACTGTAGAGATTTATTAACTTTTAACGCTTAAACATAAGCGGTAACACTATAAATATTATTTCTTTCATTGACTAAACTTTGAAAGATACATAACCTGAAAACCCTTAAATGCCAAATTTTCAAAAGACTGCGTTCCGTAAGTGTGTTATATGTGTTTTTTTTCTAGAGTCGATAGCTGGCGCAGAAGGCAATTATTTCCGAATTTGGTATAAAAAAAACAAAAAAAAATCGACCTAAATGAAAATAGGACAATTGAAAAAAATAACAAAGAATCTATGTCAAAACAAGATTCCAACGCTAGTTATATCGTTGGAATCGGATAATTAGTTCAGCCATAATGAATTTTTTTATTTTTTAATTATTAAAAACTTTGACTTTTAATATCATGAATATATCAATTGAAAAATTTTTTTTTACAAAATCCTTTAGGATTTGTGTTAGTGATGTAAAATACTATCAAAAAAATGTATCTACAAACAAAAACTAATTTTGACCTAATTCAGGTGGCCCGTTTGAGAAATTCTGACCCATGTATTAAAAAAATCACACTTACCAAATTTTTTCAATGTAAAATTGCACCCAAACGACAATAGAACCAGAGCTGGGAAAGTTACTTCTGAAAAGTATCTAGTTACTTTTCTAAGATACTTCTAAGATAGTTTAGTTACCTCTGGTAACTATATACTTTGAGTTTAAAGTATCTTTAGTTACAAGATACTAGTATCTAAGATACTATCCGAAAGTATCTAAGATACTTTTGAGTAACTAAGATACTTTTAAGTAACTAAGATACTTTTGAGTAACTATAGTTACTTATAAGTTTGAATAAAAACTATAAAATTATAAAAATTCAACAAGTTGTAGGTTAGGTAATTACTTTAAATCATTAAGGAATTCCCCCAAGATATTACAAAAAAAAATTAAAATTTTTTTTATGGGGTAGGGGACTTTTGTCAAAATACCCTTTAGGGTGTAGATTTCTTGACATTCATTTGTTTTGTTACGACTAGCTCCATATATAAGTATTTTTGTTTTAGGCCATTTAGGAAATTAATTAAAATGTTTGAAAAAAACATATTTTTATTTTAATAATATTTATTACAAGATTTTTTTAATAAACCAGCATAAATAAATAAACATTTAACATACGTATTTTATATTACATATACATGTATAAAACAGCATTTTAAAAAACTTAAATATTTACATTTTTGGTTTCACTTTTAAAGTATATTTAATTAATTTATAATGCTCCAATTTCGTGTAAGTGAAGAATCAATTCCCTTACTCTTCTGTCGTATTCTTCACACGGTTTTCCTTCGAATATTTTCTTAGCCATTTCTTCCTTATTATCACTGCTACTCATTTCAATTAAATCAACTTTGTCCTCTTGATTTGTTAACTTCATTCTAATTATCGTTAACCCCAGGATCCAACCATAAGTGCAATATGTTTTCCATTCTTCTTTCAGCAAGGAATACGGGTAGACTTCTTCGGAATTTAGGCCTGCCTTTTTCAAAACATCACTGAAACTTTTGTAGTAGACTTGGAGAAGATCGTCCAGTCTATCGAAAGTGTCCTTTGAACCTCCTGAGTACAGGCAGTGTGATAAATCATGGACTGTGGATCCCACTTTTAGTAGTTGCCAGTCTAACATCTTTAGGTCTATCAGTTCTCTTTGTTTCTAAAATAGAAAAGTAATTATGGTTGTGGTTTAATTTGTATTTACACGATTAAATATTAGTTTAGAACACCAACTTATCTACTTTAAATTTTGCACGTGAATTTCTATTGAAAAGGGAATTTTAATATATTCTTGTTTAAATTTAAATATATTTGTTGTTTTATTATTAAAAAATTGACCATTAAATAAGGAGATGTGTTAGGTAAAACTATTTTTTACTCACGTTAAATTTAAACATCATATTGTTGCTCCAACAGTCTCCATGATTTATGACAGGGTGTTTTCCATTATATCCCCAAGAGTCCATGAAGACAGAAAGTCCGTTAGAATACTTTTGTTTAAAAACTTGTATAGCTTTGTTGTCCTGGCCAGGTATTAATTTTTCCCCTGCCTGTGCGATCATATCATTCCACACATTATTAAAAGCAGAATTACTGAAGAAATGTGTGGAGAGTTTTCTTAAATTTGATGTGAGTTTTTCGAACTTTTCCGGTTGAGTTTTTCCTAATACAAAGGATGTTGCGTGTAGATTGGCGTAGATTTTGAAAATAAATTCGAAATAATCGTAAGGTACAATTTTTTCTTTGGGAAACAGCTCGAAGCCTGATGCCTTTAAATTTTCCATTGCGAGATATTCGTTTTCGGGTTCCGTGCTTGTGTAAAAACATTTAGGGACATTATTAAATTTTGGTAAATCCAGCTCACTTTGTAATTGCTGCAAAACAGGATAGCACTCCTTGTAGAAAAATACTTCATTTAAATAAACCTCCCTGATGGGCATTTCTTCCCGGACTGGTTTATCGGTGAAAGCCCGTTTAATTGCAATGTTGTAGGTATTTTTATTTCCCTTTGGGGTTATTTTAACAAAAAACATTTCGCCCAAATATCCTTCCCCTTTTTCATTGCCTTCGCCGTACTCCACATCGTACTCAGCTAACGGGATGCTTTTTGCTATTTTGTCCACAATAGAATTAATATTGTTTACACCATTCATTGTAAATATTACGACCTTCACTAGCGTTCTATTAGTTACATGTACCACAGCAGCAATGCTTAGTTTAATAATCCATAGTAATACCGGGTCTTTTAAATGATTTATCTGCTCCCCTCCTATTCTAGAAAAGCGTAATAATTACATAATAATGCAGTGGATCTATAAAATACAAGACTGCACAAAAAATCACATAAACAAAATACTTTTAAACTAATCTTAGATTGTCATTTTAATGTGGTATAAGTCATCAACAATATTAATTTATTTTAGTTAAGAAATCGAATTAGCACGATAATAAAAGGGCAATTGCTCATTGGATTCATTTCTTAACATTATCTAAAATTTTTATCAATGTTTTAGTTTAAGGGATAATAATTTTTCAATCAAACGGTAGAGAAATGTATTGAAGATTGTTAGTAAACAAATGAATTTTTATTAAAAATTTGTTTAACCTGACTTGAAATTAAAGAGTATCTAGAATATTTTTTAATACTTTGTTCTAATTTTGAAGATGTCAATAGTATCTTTTATCTTAAATCGGTCTATCATATAATTTTAACTATATTATTGTCAAGTTAGTTACTGAAGATCAATCTAACCTAAGTTTTATATATATCCTTTAAAAATTGTGCCTTATATATATATATATATATATATATATATTAGGACAAAGGATTCACTTCTTGTCTTAATGCCATAAATAACTGTATTGCGGAGGGTTTTTTTTTCGTGAATTTAAACACGTGTATTGTTCCTAGTATGTTATTTATTTACAAAGGAAATAATGAAGTAACTTACAACGGAGGTTAAGCCGAGACAGCTGTCTCGGCCCAAGAGAATTTTCAAAGAAGTTGGAGTGTCTTGGCTTGGATTGTGGTGTCAACTGATTTATTAGCTAGGAAAATAAATGGATTTATAAAATCAGGAAGGGGAAGTACTGACGTCACGTGCAATGACGTCGGTCTGCGTTCGGGACTTAAGTCAGATTTTTCCGAATTGCTGAGAAATGAGATAGTAGGTAATTTGGATAGGTTGTGTTATAAAGGTGGGCTGGAAAAAACTCTATGCGGGTAGGATTAGTTCATTGTACATTTTGTCACTTAGTTATAATAAATGTTTTATGATTTTTGCATGGGTTTATGATGTTTTTGTACCTGTGTAGAGAAGGTACTGCCGCTACAATACCTATAATATTTTTATTTACTTATTTTAATAATTATTATTTTCCCATAGGTACTTCAGAATTATTCTGTGTTATATTTATTTTACTTGATAAAACCGTTGAGTAAAGATAGCGATAAAACTAATAGCTATTTGTTATACTAATTTGGCACTTCTAAATATAGAATTAAATTAAAAACAGATTAATTTAATTTTAATACAAACATTATATTTTATTAGAATGCGATAATGTTATGCAATATTGCATACACGTATTGTTAATATTACATCATATTAAGCTTTATGATAAATTATTATTGATAGTCATATTTGTTTACAAACCTACATTAAAACATCATATTGTTACATCAGCAGTCTCAATGAGTTGTAAGTTACAACTTGTAACAGGATATTTTCCAGGTCCAAACCAGGCCAAATTGCCCTTTCACCTATGGAAACAATAACCGATCAAATCGTGCCCAATAAAATGCAAACAGTTGGTTAGGTTACCGTTGGTAATATTTTGGGAATGTTTATGGGTTAAAAAAGAAACTTTAAAGCTTTATAGAAAATTGTCTCGGAAACTCTAGCATTTAGTACACAAAATTTAATAAAACTTGCACTCGAGCCCGTTTTTCATGCCTTTTTGCACATATACACAGAGTGTGCACATATAACAAATCTCAATTGTTTTAATATACCTACCTACACATAACGTTTTCAATTTTATTTAACTCAGAGTGCTGTCATCAGCTGGTTAACCTAAATATTGTTTTATTTACACATTTGCTAATGCGCATTACTGAACAATTAGTTGCCAAACTTCTACCAATCTTCCTTACAAACGAAGTTGGCCAAAAATAACTATATTTAAGTCTTTATTTTGGGAAATGAATGCCATAAAATATGTCAATTTTTGGTCAAACGTGACTAAAATTACAACTCATATGTCCAAATAAATATCATACGCCAAACTTAGTTGGAACAAAGTTGACTACCTTCTTTCCCAAACCTTGGTTATCTGGGAAGCTAGTGTTGGGATCACTTAAGTAAAAAATAACCTATTACCCGGTTATTGCAATTACCTGAATAATTCGGTTATAAGCTTCAAATACAAGTTCTCGATAGTCGACACCGTGAAATAAATTGGGCAACGCTGCGATAATATTTCGATATTCAGTGCTGCCAACCATAGTTTAAAACCTAAAAGTTACCAACACAACTTTTATGTTTGTTCCACTACCCGAAACATGTATTTTATTGCATTTAAATAAAAATTATGAATTAGAATGCCTTTTATAATTTTTTTTTATTTCAAAACTAAATGTATAAATAATTACATACGAAAATTGAATCCGCAGATATATTTTTTTAGATAATAAATTTGATTGGAGAATATGTGTATGTATAAAAATTGCATAGAAAATATAAACGTTCATAAAAATTACTAAAATAAATTTAACTATAAATTAAAATATACCAATTTATTTTTTGTTGTATCAGATAAGTTTCCATTTATATTTACATCATTCTGGTGTGATCTATATTTTTAAGCCTCAGAATATTTTTTTCTATTCAAAAAGGGTGTTTATATCTAAATAATACCATTTCATTTATTAATTTAAAATTAAGTTAAAGTAGAATATTTATTGATATTTCGTAAAAATTGTATTATTTTACCGAAGAACACTCGATAAACTTTACGAAAAATATGATATTTCATGTTTTTGATTCAATATTTCGTGATAGAGTATGAAAAACTATAAAAGTCATCATTTACTATTTGAAGTTAAACTTTAACTTTAACTTTTAAAAGAGTCGACTATGCAAAAAATCATATCAGATCTTTTTTGTAGATCGTTTAATTCCCTACAAGAATGTGTATTGATTTTTACAACCCACCGATTCGTTAAAACGAAATAAAATCCCAAACAAAAAAATGAATTTTTCCCTTGTTATTTAAATGGAAAATAAAAAATCCTTAATATGGATATTAAGAGCTCAAACTTTATCAGAATTTTTTTTTCATTTTGGACGATATTTTCATGGTAGCTAAAGAAAAGAAAATTAAAAGTTTGTATTTTTCCCTTGTTATTTAAATGGAAAATAAAAAATCGCGATGAGCCACCTCTTAATATGCTCAAACTTTATCAGAATTTTTTTTCATTTTGGACGATATTTTCATGGTAGCTAAAGAAAAGAAAATTAAAAGTTTTTTTTGGCTCACCCTAATGTATACTCCCATTTATTTCATTGATTTTTATTAATATACACTTTTATTTAACTAATATAAATACCTATATATATATATTTACATTTAATTTATGCATTTTTTTGGTTTAACTATTAAATTAATTTATAATGCTCCAATTTCATGTACATGAAGAATCAATTCCCTTACTCTTCTATCGTATTCTTCACACGGTTTTCCTTCAAACATTTTCTTAGCCATTTCTTCCTTATCATCACTGTTACTCATTTCAATTAAATCAACTTTGTCCTCTTGATTTGTTAACTTGATTCTAATTACCGTTAAGCTCATAATCCAACCATAAATGCAATATGTTTTCCATTCTTCTTTCAGCAAGGAATACGGGTAGACTTCTTCGGAATTTAGGCCTGCCTTCTTCAAAACATCACTGAAACTTTTGTAGTAGACTTGGAGAAGATCGTCCAGTCTGTCGAAAGTGTCCTTTGAACCTCCTGAGTACAGGCAGTATGATAAATCATGGACTGGGGATCCCACTTTTAGTAGCTGCCAGTCTAATAGCTTTAGGTCTATTAGTTCTCTTTGTTTCTGTTGGAATATTGTGCAACAACAATAGTCAACGTTTATAAAATAGGAAATAAACCACATGGCAAGCGAGTGAAACATTTACGGCATTCGTACCCTTGACTTTAAAATATACTACGAGGCAGAGTCAGTCCGAAACCACCCTCAGCGAAATATAGTCGTCACAGATGTTATTTGTATTTATCTCTAAAAGTTATTTGTTACCTACTTATCAATAAAGTGTACCTACTTAGTTATCTCGTTCTTAAATACAATTGTGCTTTTTATTGACCATTCACATAATTACGCAAACACCTATTGAAGTCATTAAATAAAATCCAACAGGTTATGGGCCCAGTTAATCTATGTGAGTGAGTTCGGAGTTTAAAGACAATACAGGAATATAGTTTTTACAAATAGTGTGCTGCAGCAAAAGTGAGAGAACAATCAAGGTTCGAAGATGTCGGGCGGTTCGCGTTTTTTGTACGGTATCGCGAAATTGAACAGTTCCAATTATCAAATTTGGAAGTATAAGGTCGAATTTTTGCTGATCAGTGAGGGGATATGGGACGTGATCGCTGAGCCAAGGCCAGGTGTTCCAGACGAAGCCTGGATTAGAAAGGATGATCAAGCTAGAGCAGCAATCGGACTCCTTGTCGAAGATAGCCAGTTAATCCACATTAGACAAGCAAAAAATGCTCTCGACGCTTGGAATTCATTAAGGGACATCCACCAGAAGGGATCGCTATCCACCAAAGTTTTCTTGTTAAAGCGGATATGCAGATTAACTCTAGAAGAAGGCGGTAATATGGAACTCCATATAAACCTAATGATGGAGTTGGTGGATAAATTATCGGCCATGGGGGAGGTGCTAAATAATCAGTTAATTGTTGCTATGCTATTAAGTAGTCTGCCGGATTCTTATGGCACGCTAATTACTGCACTGGAAAGCAGGGATGAGAAGGAGTTAACAATGGAACTAGTGAAAGCAAAATTATTAGACGAATATGGTCGACGTAAAGGTGTATCAAAAACAAGGGATGAAGAAAGTGACACGGCAATGAGGGCGTCGGCTTCTCATCATCATAAAGGGCAACCCGGGCATTCAGGAAATTCGGCGAACTTGGTAAAGAAAAAGCAGTGCTATTTTTGTAAAGAACCTGGTCATTACAAAAAGTTTTGTCGAAAATATCAAGCTTGGAAGTGCAATAAAGAAAGGGCAAATGCAGTTACAGATGGTTATTCTGAAAATCAAGTGGATGAGACCTGTTTTATGACACAAACAAATGTGGAGACAGATTTATGTCATGAAGTGAGTGTTTGTTTTGGCCTGCAAATAAGACAACAAAAGGACGTTTGGGTAATCGACTCGGGGGCGACAAGTCATATGGTTAATAACAAGGATTTCTTTAAGGAATTTCATCGAAACACGAACGGAAATGTACGGCTAGCAAATGGTCAAAAGGCTGAAATTAAAGGGACCGGGTCGGGTGTTGTAAAGTTTGTCAATGGGGCCAATAAGGACATTAATATAAAGATTGACAACGTTTTGTTTGTGCCAAACTTGGAAGTTAATTTACTTTCGGTGCGGAAATTAACAGCTAAAGGTTTTAAAGTGCTGTTTAAGGACAACGTGTGCGATATTGTGGAAGGACAAAAAGTGCGGGCAACGGCCAAACAGGTAGCCGGACTTTATGAGCTTCAAACGGTACCGGTGCAAGCAGACAATAAAGCGTGTATAGCAATAAAGGGCGGTCATAGTACACAGTGTCAGCACATGTGGCATAGACGTTTCGGGCATCGCGAAGTGGCAGCAATTAAAGACTTACAAAACAAAGGACTAGCGGCCGGTATAAAAGTTACGGATTGCGGAATACGGGAAACTTGTGAAGTTTGCATTAAAGGAAAAATGGCAAGAAAACCATTTCCAAAAAGGTCGGAGAACAGGTCAAACAAAATTTTAGACCTTGTTCATACGGATGTTTGCGGACCCATGCAAACGGTGACACCTGGAGGAAAGCGGTACGCCTTGACCATAATAGATGACTACAGCCGGTACTGTAGAGTTTTTTTAATGGCTCAAAAATCCGAAGTGGCAGAACTTATTAAGCAATTTGTCGAAAAAATGAAAACCAGTTTGGGAAAAAAGCCAAAAATAATTCGGTCGGATAGAGGAAAGGAATATGTCAACAAAGAACTGAAAAATTACCTGAAAATGGAGGGCATTCAGATTCAGTACACGGTTGCTTATACACCTGAGCAAAACGGTGTGGCCGAAAGGAAAAATCGCTCACTCTTGGAAAGTGCAAGGTGCATGTTGTACGACGCGGACATGGACAAGAAATATTGGGGTGAAGCGATAAATACCGCAAATTATTTGCAAAATAGGCTACCATCAAAATGTATAGAAAAAACACCGTTCGAATTATGGCATTTAAAGGCACCGAATGTTGACCACCTGCGAGTTTTTGGCTGTAGAGCATACGCTCATGTTCCTAAAGAATTGCGAAGAAAATTGGATGAAAAGGCAGTGGAATTTTTATTTGTGGGATACTCGGAAGAATCAAAGGGTTATCGTTTATTGGATAAAAACACCAATAAAATAAAGATAAGCCGGGATGTCGTTTTTCTCAATGACCAAGAAGTAAAACAGCCACTTAAAGAGAATAAAACGATTAAAAGTAAAGATCCAAGTAACAAAGTTCAAATTACGTTGAATTGGAGACGATCTAAGGAAAATAAAACAACGGCGTGTCTTCAAAATTTGGAAAATGCAGTTCAAGAAAATCAGGAAAATTTTAAAGAACCTGTGGAAGTCCTGCAGGAAATAGAAGACAAGAATGAAGACAAAGAAGAACCAAGAAGATCCGACAGGTCGAATAAAGGTGTGCCACCCCACAGGTATACAGGAGACGAAAAGCTGTATACGATGGTTAGTTTTAACGAAGATCCAAAGAACAGGAAGGAGGCACTTTCTGGACCAAATTCAAAGGAATGGGGGGCGGCAATGGACGAAGAAATTAATTCGTTATTGTCAAATAATACCTGGGAGCTTGTACAGAAGCCGGAAGGTCGGGACATAATCAGTTGTAAATGGGTGTTCAAAACGAAGCGGGACGCAGCAGGGAGCATAAATAAGTACAAGGCAAGGTTAGTGGCACGAGGGTTTTCCCAGAAATATGGAGTTGATTACGACGAAATATTTGCCCCAGTTGTAAGGCACACGACATTTCGGCTGCTACTGACCATAGCAGGTAAAGAGGGACTCTTTATTGCACATTATGATGCAAAAACAGCTTTTTTGAACGGGGTGCTTAAAGAAACAATTTTTATGCGACAACCTGAAGGTTATTTAGAGCCTGACAAAGAAGAAATTGTGTGTAAATTAAACAAAAGCATTTACGGGTTAAAACAGGCAGCAAAAGCCTGGAATGATGAATTGAACATTGTTTTAAAAGGCCACCAATTCAACCAAAGTCAAGCAGACCCATGCTTGTATATTAAAACCGAGGAAGGGAAAGTCATTTACATTGTCGTTTACGTAGATGATTTTTTAATTGCAAGTAGTGATAAAAGGCTAGTAAAGCAGACAGCAGAATTTTTTAAAAATCATTTTGCTCTGATGGATTTAGGGGAGCTAAAGCACTATCTTGGGATACAAGTGAACAAGGATGATGATGGTTTTTATCGGATTAATCAAACGCACTATATATGTAAATTATTAGTTCGTTTCGGGTTACAAGACGCAAAAACCTCGAATTATCCATTGGACCCACAGTACAATAAATCCAGGATTAAGGAACAGGAAGCGATGAAGGATGGCGAAAAATATCAGCAATTAATTGGAGCATTGCTTTACATATCGGTAAATACGAGGCCAGACATTACGGCAAGTGTTTGTATTTTAAGCCAATACAATAAATCACCGACCGACCCCGACTGGGTGGAAGCAAAGAGGGTCGCTCGGTACCTGAAAGGCACTAAAGAACTGACTTTAAAACTGGGTAATAAGGATGACCCAAATAAACACCTGTATGGTTACAGTGACGCAGATTGGGCACAAAGCAATGAAAACAGAAAGTCAAATAGTGGGCATTTGTTTAAATTTAATGGAAGTCCAATAAGTTGGGGATGCAAAAAACAAAATTGTATCGCCCTGTCAACAATGGAAGCTGAATACATTGCGCTGGCAGAAGCTTGTCAAGAAGGGGTTTGGATCCGCCGACTATTGGGAGACTTCGGTCAAAATCAGGATCAAGCTACCATTATGTACGAAGATAACCAAAGTTGTTTGAAATACATAAGTAATTCAAAATTCAGCAACAGAACGAAACACATTGATACAAAATATCATTTTTTAAAGGACCTAAAGAAACAGAATTTAATGTGTTTTGAATATTGTGCTACAGAATACATGTTAGCCGACATGTTTACAAAACCGCTAAGCACTCTGAAGTTGGAAGCGATGCGAAAGGCGTGCAATCTTTTTTAATCAAAAAATAGGATTATTATTGTTGAGGAAGGGTGTTGGAATATTGTGCAACAACAATAGTCAACGTTTATAAAATAGGAAATAAACCACATGGCAAGCGAGTGAAACATTTACGGCATTCGTACCCTTGACTTTAAAATATACTACGAGGCAGAGTCAGTCCGAAACCACCCTCAGCGAAATATAGTCGTCACAGATGTTATTTGTATTTATCTCTAAAAGTTATTTGTTACCTACTTATCAATAAAGTGTACCTACTTAGTTATCTCGTTCTTAAATACAATTGTGCTTTTTATTGACCATTCACATAATTACGCAAACACCTATTGAAGTCATTAAATAAAATCCAACAGTTTCTAAAATAGAAAATAAATAATGGTTGTAGTTTAATTTGTATTTAAACAATTAAATTATAGTTTAGAATACCTATTCTTGTTAAGAATTAACCAAAGACTTGGGTATTTTATTATTAGTTTGTCCGTTAAATATGGAAATGATTAGGATAAAACTATGTTTTACTCACGTTATATTTAAACATCATATTGTTGCTCCAACAGTCTCCATGATTTATGACAGGGTGTTTACCATTATATATCCAAGATTCCATGAAAACAGAAAGTGCATTGTTACAAAACTTTTTTTCAAAATCTTTTATAGCATTATAGTCCTGGCCAGGTAATAATTTTTCCTTTGCATGTGCGATCATATTATTCCACACATTATTAAAAGCAGAATTACTGAAGAATAGTGTGGAGAGGTCTTTACAATTTAAAGCGAATTTTTCGAACTTTTCCGGTTGGGTTTTTCCTAATACAAATGATGTTGCGTGTAGATTGGCGTAGATTTTAAAAATAAATTCAAAATGGTCGTAAGGTATAATTTTTTCTTTGGGAAAGAGCTCGAAGCCTGATGTCTTTAAATTTTCCATTGCGAGATATTCGTTTTCGGGTTCTGTACTTGTGTAAAAACATTTAGGGACATTATTGAATTTTGGTAAATCCAGCTCACTTTGTAATTGCTGCAAAATAGGACAGCACTCCTTGTAGAAAAATACTTCATGTAAAAACACCTGCCTGATGGGAACATCTTCCCGGACGGATTTATTGGTAAAAGCCCGTTTAATTGCAATGTTGTAGGTTTTTTCATTTTTCTTTGGTGTTATTTTCACAAACGACATTTCGCCCAAATATCCTTCCCCTTTTTCATTGCCTTCTCCGTACTCAACATCGTACTCATCTAACGGGATGCTCTTTGCTATTTTATCCACTATAGAATTTATATTGTTTACACCATTCATTGTAAATATTACGACCTTCACTAGCGTTTTAGTGTTACATGTACTACAGCAGCAATGATTAGTTTAATAATGCATAGTAAACAGCACCTTTTAAATTATTTATCTGCTCCCCTCCTACTCTATAAAAGTGTAATTATGATGCAGCCCAATCGTATTGTTAATTTATTAAATGGTAAGATCTATGAAATACTAGACAACACAAAAAAATGCATTAATGTTTATATAAACAAAATACTTTTAAACTTATCTTAGATTGTCATTTATATGTGGTATAGATAGGATTAAGTATCATTAATATTAATTAATTTTTTTGACCAGGTTCAATTAATAAATGGAATCAGCACATTGTTAATATTTTTTATTAGGTATCTAACATTTTGGTTTAATGAAATGTAAATTTTTACAATTAAATATAAAGGAGCCAGTGAAAAGTTTTGATTTATGGTACCACTTTTTTGAACTTTTTTTATAACTATAGCTAAAGTAAACATTTTAATTTTTATTTAATCATAATCGTCAAAAATACTATTTTATAAAATTTATATTTCAATTGTTCTACGCACAATAATTGGTTTGTTAACAATTATTGCATAATAAAGTACAAACCTGGTGCTTAATAATCCATGTTAAAAACTTGGTGATTTTACATTTGGAACCATAAGGCGAGCATAGTAATTCTCTTAAAACTTCAGAAACATAGTGGCCGTGACAAAGATAAGCCAACTTGGCGATGATGCTAGAGCTATTGTGTTGCGTTAAACAAATCTTCTTCTTCTTCTTCTGTGTAATGGCCTTTCCTTTCCGGGATTTAGCCAGCTGAATCTTTTTTTGCTTTAGGTACTGGAACAAGCGAGTCTAGGATTGAGTTCGATTTCTTGTGTGTTGTATCGCACTTTCATCTCTGGGACATCGCTCAATGAAAAAGTGTGAAACATAGCTGACTTTGACCCAGGAGAGAAAATTCACGTGTCTATGGGTGGATGGCTTCGTGAAGCGCATGGACATTAAAACTTGTTGCTGGTCAAAATGGTACATTGAAACCGAGACCAGCCTTTGGCCACCAAGGAAGAAGAGTCTAGGATTACCTATAGCTTCTCCTTTTCTTCATGTTTACATTTACATGTGTCCATAACTATCACTTCAGTTTTTATTTCAATATTTTATTTTAGCATTTCAGTTAGTTCTTAAAACATCTTTTTAGTGTACTTGGCAAAAAAAAATAAAAAAAAACGATCGTCCACTACGTGGCTGATTGCACATGTATAGTAAATTTAAAAGTAAACTACGTACACGTCATCAATCAGCTGATCGGGCACGGTTGTCAATGTGATGCTAAAATCCTTGCATCAAGGGAAAGTGGTAGTGCAACTACAGGGCGATAGATGGCGTTTACATGAATAATACCAAAATGTCAAAAGTCGGAGTTTTTATAACCTATATGATGCACCGCCAAAAGTATGTTTTTAGCCATTTTTAAAGATATTTTCTGATATAAAACCCAAAAATTTTGCCATCTAAAGTCAGTCTCTGGTATATATATTATTATTTCATGTATCCAACATATATTTTGTTAAATATTCTAATATATAATTAATAATAATCCTATTTACCTCTCTAACAGCTGTTAAAGGTAACAAAGGTCCATTATTATCCCGTTCTGCCTCAAAATAGCGTATTAAGGATGACACCAACTCTTGACTCCGACTATTTAAATGCTTCGGCATTTTAAATATAGGAAACACAAAACAACGATATATAACAAACACAAAAACGGCAATGAAAACTTAAACGATATAAAATAACACAAACAACAAACAAAATAAACGAAATAATACACGAATTAAACGAAATATTCAAAAACACAACTGACAGCTTCGAAATTCTAAAACGTCAAATTCTTTTTTATGTGTCATTTAAATATGAAAAATTTGAATGTAAACATGACAACATCACAATTGTTGCCAACTTAATTTGGTTAAAATGCATTCAAATATTCAATTACAGACTTCGATTTAGTCATTTAGTGTTGGTACCAATGCGTAAAATTTTTGTTTTATTGATGACGTGTACGTAGTTTACTTTTAAATTTACTATATATTTATTCCTTCAATACTTCGACCATCCTTTGTGGAAATCTTTTGCATCTTCACCAATCTAATGTAGATTTTAAGGTTTTGTCTCTGATCAGCTTATTTGTGTGCTGTGAGCATAAAGTCCTCCAAAGGACCCTTGTCACTTCAGCGGACAATACAGAACTGAAAAAAAAACAAAATTCTTACGTTGTATTGTAGTCTATTACCAACTTTTTGATGATACTTGTTACCAGTTTGAAGTAATTTCGTTTTTCTATTTTGTTATTAATGATATAATTTTAAATCTAAAACATTGTAATTTTATGGTATACTTACACTTAAAAAGAACACTTTTCGTAGAAATTAATTATTTTGTATTAAGTATTGATTTTTACGGTTAAAACTTTATTGATTTTAGAATCCGGTTCGGTGAGGGTTTTATCTGTTTTTATAACGGATTTACCTGTATAATTTTTTGTAAGTTTTTCAAAAGAATGAACTACGTTTGTAGACATTTTATTTTAGGCATTTTATTCGCAATTCAGTTTTCAGGTTCAATGCCCTCATTAATTTCTAATATTGATGTTTAACTCCATCATCAAATATTGGCCTTTAAAATTTATTTTGTCAAAACAACGTCACGAGCTAAATTAATTATTTTGGTATGTCATATTTTGTAACCATTTGATTTATAACCGACTAATATGCCTTAATTTTAGTGTTTTATCAAATTTATCGTTTCTGACCTAATTATGAATATAAGCGGTAAGGGTCAATCCATATCAAATCAAGCAATTTAATTTATAAAGGTTGCCGACAAAATTTATTTATTTTTTATTTTTTTACCTATGTTTCTAATACACTTATCTTACCAAGTTAAAAACAAGTATTTATTATTTTTATCAGTTTTTTTTGGCGCGTCAGCCTATTTTGCCTATTCTAAAATTATTGAGTCATTTTGAGGTACATTTTGGCCAAGGCAAAAAAAAACAAATTAAAACTTTAAATACGGCTGCTCAATTCAAAGTAACTGCGGCCTACCTATAGACAGAATGCTAAGTACGCTCTTATATCGTTGGTTTCAACTAACCTTTAGTTTTTGACGAAAACTGATATCGCACTGAAAAAAATAAGCTGTTGAAACAACAAAAAAAATATTAATTCAACTCTTTATGCACTTTAAATACAAGCAATGGTTTTTGCACGTTTACTTAACCATCTAAAAATTTCAAATTGTATTGTTTAATTGAACAACAAATAACAGTCAAATGAACAAAATAAGAATATTTGTTCTAATCTGCTAATTTGGTTAATTTAACATTCTTAGGGTGTTAAGGTAAATTTCTTGAAATGTCCAGGTAACCTTTTTAGCATATTCACTTAACACCAATAAAATGTTAAATTAACATTCTGAAAATGTAAAATTCTTTAAAGGTTGGTATCCAAAACAAAATTATGGAAATAATATATTATTATATATAAATAGAAAGAATTGAACCTTCACCTCGCCCAGAGTTTTTGTTTTGAGCGTGTTCCACCCATGATACATCTTTGTATCATGTGTTCCACCTACTTCAAATACCGACAGACTGTTTCGCCCTGTATTGAGGGTCTTAACAGTGTCGGGCAATATGGTGTAGTGAAAGTTCTACTGTGGAACACACCTTAAACAAACAGATATCTCATCTTATATACACCTAATCGTAAGGTAACTAAGGCGAGATGTAAGAAAACGTCATTGTCTAATGATGTGGCGTGAGTGTTCGAAGCGCCATTCTCGGCAATTTTATGAATGCAAATTTTACATTTTAAATTTTAAAGTAACATTTTAAATTTGTTAAATGAACAAATTTAAAGTTTTGGATTAAAGAGCAACTAAACGTTAATTTAATAGTTTTTTTTAGGTAATCCTAAAAATTTCAGTAGTTGATTCAACAAATTCCAGCTATTAAATCAAAGTACGATAAACATTTTAATTCAAAATATTAGTTTATGTTAAATTAATATTTAAACTGTCAAATGAACAAATAAACTTTGACAAACTCTGACTTTTGCTTTAACACCAAAATATAGATTAATCCAATAGGTTTTTTGTTGAAACAACATTTTTAAAAATGACATTTAGGCAAATGTTAACTCAACTACATTATTTTTTTCGGCGCGCAACTTCAAAGGAGAGTTGTGGGGTCCACGTCTAACTCGCAGCAGAGCAGCAACAGCAGCCAGCAGATAAGACCTGAAGATGGTACATAAAATTGTACCGAAACGTCGTCAGACATACGGTTCTTTTAAGAACCAAAAACCGACAACACGGAGCAGATCCGGAAAACCAGGGTGAGTCATTTAAATTGAAACTTTAAAATATCTCAGTTATAACTAAAATGCATACTATAAAAATTTTTTTAAATAAATACTAAATGATTCGAGGGGGGAAATCAATCAGTACTACAATTGGTCCTCATACTCTCCTCCTTATAGGGAACAGGGGGTAACTTTAAATTTCCAATGGAACATTTTTTATTGCAGACTTTGATCATTTGACTAAAAATAGTTAGATTTTGTCTAAAACATTTTTTCTTATTAATAGATGGCGCTGTAATAAAAAAAAATCAATTTTGTTCGATTTTTCTTCTGGATACGATTCTCCAATAATTTTTTAAAAAAATACTTGGTTTTATTTTTTAAATTTATTTATTTATTAAATTTTAATTAAAGTAGGTGCTCAAAATGGTGGCCTTCGACTTCAATGCAATGCAATTTGCATTTCAAATGACTCTACACAACCAAGTAGAAAACTGCTGGAATTTCGGCACAAGCATTTCTAATTCGCTCAATCAATTTCCGGAAAACGCTGAGCTGAGAAAATCCATTATGAATAACTGCTTAACGAAAGGAGGTCTTTTTGTTTGCAAATTATTCTTCGAACTA